ATATTAAACATAAACAACGAATTTACAACTAGGGCTGTTAATCGGTCCGTCTTGTCCAAGGACTGGCGATCTTTTAAAGATTGGATTAGATCACAGTCCAGGACCGAATAAAATTATATCAGATGGATCGACTATCCAAGATATTAAAATACGATTTGAACTGAATGTATGCTTCTAGTTACTTTATGCATTAAATTAATTGATTTGTAGTGTTATACATAATCGTGTAACTTGAAACTGCCTCGTGATTTTAAACCTCAGGTATATTGTAAAAACATAAACGAAATTATAGCTGATAGCAATAGAATAGGCCAAATTTAAAAAAACTATCGATCGCTATAATTCCTAACCCTAAAGCTAATATATATAATAACGGATCAGTATTGGTACTGTATAAATTTTAAAATTGGCCTGTACTATGTAATATAAATAATCGTCCATACCTCAAGATTTCGACAAAAAAATTCCTTGCAAGATTTGGCTATATGTGGTGTTCTTTCTAATGTCGTCCTAATGCTCATCCTTATCTTACTATTAGGACTGATAGTCCTCTCGATCCATCCTAAAGAGAATTGGACTTGCCCAACCGTCGGTCCAGACCGCTCTTACAACCGGAGCATGGTTGTAATAACCTCTCAACCCGATGGGTATACTTACAACAATACTCTCCGGGTGGAAAGACTTCTAAAATTGTTGCCCGATAGTTACATTTCTTTTCCCATTGTTTCAGGCGTTGCTCTACGTCTTTGCTACGCCCGATCTTATAGTATACGCATTCCGGCGAAGCTTTGTCTTTATCCTCCACTATATATGAATTAGGCACAATTAATTTTTACATAAGCAATTGACAAATGATTAATAAATTTATAATACCTGCCCGATAGTTACATTTCTTCTCCCATTGTTTCAGGCGTTGCTCTACGTCTTTGCTACGCCCGATCTTATAGTATACGCATTCCGGCGAAGCTTTGTCTTTATCCTCCACTATATATGAATTAGGCACAATTAATTTTTACATAAGCAATTAACAAATGATTAATAAATCTATAATACCTGTGAATACGTATATGTAGCCCGCTTCATCGTGGTCAGATATATCTTTGACCATTTCGGATTAACCGATATGAAAAAATAACCACAATTTTTAATGCTCTAAGTTTTTAAAACAAATATATACCGGTACAATTTTAAAAAATTTTGGGGCCATTTTTGTCAGCTTTTTTTTTATTGTTAAGTTAGGATTTAGGGTTAGAGTTATTAGTAAAAGAGTATAGGTGTATTTCTGTATTTTGGTAGAGTATATATTTTCAAATCGAGACCCCTGCGACATAAAATATTACATTGTATATTCCCTGACTGATATAATTGGATTGGTTTATTATCACATGGCAGCAGAAATAACCAATCATAAAGTGTTATTCAATCAACCGATCACGAGGTACGTACATATAATGATTATCGTGAATTTTTTTTTTTAGCACAATCTTTTTTATGATGGTGTTCGACGAATTGGATCCCAGAATTTCGAGAGCATTATCAAAACTTAACTTTCATAAACCAACTCTGGTACAAGCTGAAGCGATTCCTTTAGCGTTGGCTGGTAAAGATATACTAGCGAGAGCAAAGACCGGGAGTGGTAAAACAGCGGCTTATTGTCTACCAGTTATTCAAAAGATATTAACTGTTAAAGAGGCAAGTTTACCTCAATGTTTTCCTCGAATTATTATTTTGAATGTCTGCATTTTTTCGTAGGGCATTTGGATAATACACATTATCATGATACACTATTGTTGAAATAATAATCCATGTAAAGACTTTGTAAAGACTGATTTTATTGGATTTAACTATAAGGCCATACCTGAAACATCACCAGATCGTGCCGCAATTCGATCTCTTATTTTAGTTCCAACTCGAGAACTCGCTGAACAAGTCACAAAACACTTTAATGGATTTCTAATATATTGCTCTAAGGAAATAAAAGTAGTCAACATAGCAAATACTACACCAGTGCAGTTGCAAAGGTGAATAAATGGTTGCCATAATAATCTTGTTTAATTAAATCTTTTCCTATAACATATGATTATATATTTGAAGGCCGATTTTATCAGAATTACCTGATATAATTGTTGCAACTCCTAGTCGTGCGTTAGCACATCTTGAATCGCAAGTTTGTCTTCTTTCAATTCAGAGATATCTGTTTAGTTCGTCATTCATATATAATATATTTGGAACTTATACATTTTTTATAATTCCAAAGAATATTGTTATTCGCGACACACTTGATTCACTCGTCATTGATGAAGCAGATCTTGTGCTGTCATATGGTTATGAAGATGATATACAGAAAATATTGACTCATTTACCAAAGATTTTTCAATGCTTTCTAATGAGTGCAACTCTAACAAAGGTATTTAATTCTCATTTGTTCCATCGTTCAAAATAAACTATTCTATTTTGATTATATTATTCAATATTCAATCTTTCAGAACGTTGAGGATTTGAAACAATTATTGTTGAGAAATCCTGTAAGTTTACAATATATAAATTAATAAAAGTTATAAGCTTGAAATAATCATAATCATCCTAAATTAAATCAGGCTATTTTGACATTGCATGAAGATAAGGATGAAATCAATCTTACACAATATTGTGTGCGGTAATTAATTTTGTTTTAATGCTTTCAATAATCTATTATTTTATTTAACATTTTTATCGATTTAATATAGGTGTTCCGAAGTTGACAAATTCCTTTTAATATATGTCATCTTAAAACTTCGTCTGATTAAAGGCAAATGTATTTTGTTTGTTAATGATATCGATCGATGCTATCGTCTAAAATTGTTTTTGGAGCAATTCTCGATTAAAACATGTGTTTTGAATTCAGAATTGCCGTTCAATTCCAGGTGGGTGTAATAACTTTTCAATTCTCATTCTATAAATGATAATGATCATCAACCTATTTTATTTGCAGATATCATATTGTTCAAGAATTTAACAAAGGAATTTATGATTACATTGTCGCAACGGATGAAAGCGACTTAAATGCTGATAATGACACTGACGATGAGGCTCCTGATGATAATGATGGTAGGAATTATTAATAACATTACTTAATGATGCTTGAATATCTTATAAGTATAACCATTAAAAATCTACCATGTACTACAAGAGACGAAAAATGGTGACAAAAAGCGTGATAAAACCCATTTACGGAAAAAAGACAAAGAATATGGATCATCCCGTGGTATTGACTTCATCAATGTAACAGCAGTTATAAACTTTGATTTTCCAACGTCAACAAAATCTTATATCCATAGAGTGGGGCGAACTGCACGTGCTTCTCAAAAAGGAATGAGTCTAAGTTTTGTTGTTCCAAAAGAACTTGCGGGAAAACACAAATATGTATCATGTTCATCGGCAAAGCATGATGAAGAGGTATATGCTAGAGTGGAAAAACAACAATCATTAGCAGGTGCAACCTTAAGACCTTATTTTTTCGATATGAAACAAGTGGAAGGATTTCGATATCGTATGGAAGATGCAATGAGGGCTGTTACGCGTGCTGCAATTAAGGAAGCACGATTGAAAGATGTTAGGTCAGAAATTTTAAAATCAGAAACATTGAAGGTAGCAGCTAATGATAATATACATAGTGTCTTTGTTTTTATATTATAAGGCAACATTTTTTTTTTTGTATCATCGACTTATTTAGACACATTTTGAAGATAATCCAAATGATTTAAAAGCACTTCGTCATGACACAATAATTCATCCTACACGTATACAACAACATATGAAACAAATACCACCTTATCTCATGCCAAAAATTGCGGCACCTGCTGCTAACGCGTCAACAGATCCAGATCATATAAATGAAGAATCAGCGAAATTCAATGAATACATTCCATTTCGTAAAAAATCTACAAACGAACGTTATCATGGCAAGAAGTTGTTCAAAAGCCACAAATTTGGTCCAAAGGTGCGTGCATTATTATAGTTTAATTGTTTTTCCGATTTAATTACGTAAGAATGTAAGCTAATTTATTTGTCGGAATAGAAACGTAAAAATGATCCACTGAAAACTTTTAAATTTGAATCTACACCAAGTAAAAAAAAGGTAAGTATTAATGTTGACATTATACCCAAACAAATAGTTGATCTATCTTAACAAAGTTTTATGTTTATAGAAAACATAATGATTACACATGAAATTATAAGGTAAGGCCGCTTGAAGTTGAAACTTTGTTTAACGTTATCCCCCCCTCCATCTCCCGGGTTCCCCCCAAAAATTAAACA